TTCCTTAACAGCAACCCAGTTTCCATTACCTCGCGCTTGGCTCGGGCCTCCTCCTCTGCCTCCGGGAACGAGTAGGGTTTAGGGTTTAGGAATTAGGGATTAGGGTTTAGGTGGGAAGGTTCTGGAAAAGGGTGATTACTATGGAACATCAGGATGTGTCAACAGAGATGTAGAAGGGCTTATGGGGATGCATTTATAAATATGCATGTGAATGTGCATCTTGTTGGGATCTACGGGAGTACGTCGCAGTAGCGATGTATAGGGATGATATGGGGTCCACTATGTAGGGGAAATTTTGAATCGGAAGCAAGAAGGGGGCTCTAGCGCGGCATCCAGCACCAAGGCTTTGGGGATCAGGGCTTGGAGTGCGGTTGTTTTTCTTTGGGCTGCATGAAGTATTTATCCCAATGGATCCGAGCACTTACAGCCCTTCATAACCCCAACGTGAGAGTTTCCACATAAATGGGGCCCAGACACTATAGCCCTTGTGAAATTATCAGGGAAACTTCAAGAAGGTACACCGCATTTAGGAAAACCCCCCATAGATCCCTAACCCTAAACCCCTTTACACTATCCCATATGAGCCATTGTCTAAACTCCTAGTATCCCGAGCTTATACTATAGCTCACATATTCCCAAAGAGTCTCTTCTCCAAACCCCTTCTGAACCCTACAACCCAAGCCCTGAACATTTTTGCAGGCCCACTCTGTCTGGAACATCAAATCCTTCGTATATGGAGGGGTTTCCTAATATTAGGGGTACCTTTAGAGGGGTTAATAGGGGTTATATAGCGATATATACGGTTCAGGGTTTCGGGATTAAGGTTTCCCAAAATTAGGGGTACCATTTTGGGGGGTTTCCATAATCAGGATGATAATATTTTGGGTGTATATGGGGGTCCCCCTAATTTTGGGAGGCTACCATACACAGTAAGCACCCCGAATTTTGCATATGTCCACCAATTCATGAGGTCACCCATTAAAAATTGAAGATGGGTGGTCGTGCTGGTGTGTGTGTTATAAGTTATAAGTCCTGTAGGAAATTATTCAGACGAGGAGATTAGCAAGCTAGGTGATAGGACTGCCCTTATGACTCTCACCCTAGCTGACCTTTCCCTCGAAGATTGCATGGCCCTGTGGCGCCTTAGGCAATCTGTATAATGATGAAAGAGGAGCCTAATTCTCTGAAAGCCCTGCCCTCGGCCCTGCCCTATATAAACTCCTATATAGCCACATGTTCGGCTTCACTTCCCTTTTCTTTTCCATTTGATTCCCCATTATTGGGGTAATGTCCCTATACGATCCGTACAGCATGCGTAATTCCTGTATACTCCTGGCCCCCTATTCATAAGGGGACAATGTGACAGGCATTTCCATGCTGACATCCGCCTGGGTCAGCATTTCAATCCGTCGGCGTTTGCGCTGCTCCGGGGGCATACGCTGAAGCTCCTCCAATTCCAACTCATCCGGAGGTTTAATTTGAATTTTCGGCAGAGGCTTCCTAACCTTCCCACGAGCTGTCCGCTTTTGCTCTGGCTGCCCTGCTTGCGGCTTTGCGTGGCTGTCGGTGTGCTCCGGTTCTGCGTGCTTGTCCTGGGACTTTTGCATTTTAGGTTCGGTAAGCTCATCGAAAAGACTTTCCCAAGCTGGTGGTGGCGACGATGGCAATGGACCATCGGAGGAAAGGTTTGTAACAGCTGCTATTGGTTCTTCTTCTTTGACTTGCTTGGCCTGTTCTGCTTGCGCAGCTTCCTCGGCCTCTGCTGCTCGTAGAATTTCCGCGATCTTCGACGGTTTGCTGGGCATGCTCTGCTCTGAAGGCAGAGGCTGCTGAGGCTGTCCGTTCTCTGAAGGCATCATGTCAGCCAAAAAGCTCTCCGCATGCTTGACGAGTTCGTCTTCATAAAAGCCCGTGAAGGAATGCTTCGGGGCCTCCACAATACCGGCTTGCGCAAGCAGGTGCTCGGCCCGCTCTGCCGCGAGATCTGCCTCAAATTCATCTTCCTCATTCAGCTGTCCTGCTGGCTCAAGGTCCATGGCAGACGCCCCCTAGCAATTTGTTGCCTGCACTACAAGATGCGAGGGCCCATTAGGTGCGACTCTGCTTGAGATGTGTGATTAGCTTGTCCCTCGTGCGTACATCTTGGCACACTAGAATGACTAGAATACGCTTCCGCTTGAGGCGCCCGGAGCCAAAACATCAAAAGATCTCTGTAAAGGAACTTCGACATACTCCGACTTGCAGTAAGAAGGACGACGACCACAACAGCTACTAGGACTACAACGACTACAGTACGACGACGACTACGCAGGCGACGCCGACGACTACTACTGCTACCGCTACCTATACTGCTACTGCTACTGCTTCTACTGGTGGTCTTTTACTGCATCTACTGCGACTGCGGCTGCCACTACTCACTGCCACTCCTACAGCTGCTGCTGCTGCTCCTGCTACCTCTCCTGCTGCTAATTGGAATTTTCTGTTCAGGCTTGCTTGAAAGATTGAAGCACCACAGAGGCTGCAGCGACGGTCGCTCGCCAGTATCGAGGTAACCGCCGCCTTCCTCGGCCGGTCTGGCGCTTGGCGAAGATGAGGCAACAAAACTTGAGGGTTCCAACACAACTTGCGGTCCCGATACGCGGGAACCAATTCAATATCTTGCGGTATCTCCTTCAAGACATCGCATCTCCACACTGTACACTACTGCGCCTGCAAAATCAGGTAACATGTGCTCCCAAACCTTCAAGATAGTGGAAGAACATACACCCAACTCAACTCCTATGCTGGCCAACAACATGCTGGAGTTCAAGATTGAAGCGGACACACCTGATGGGCCAGCGCACGGGCCATGAGTCACTGAGAAGGGTCGATGCAACATGTTGTAATAAAAAGGAAAAGCATAGTAAGAATAATAGCAATAATAATCGTAGCAATAATAATAAGAAGTATATTCATGGTAATAATACAAATTTGATGGTCAACTTGCCAACTCCTGTCAATCGTCTTCCCACTTTGAACAAACCATTATCATCCCTGTAGTAGTGCCTATGGAAGAGATACGTATAGTGACCCCATTCTCCTTCTCATGTGAGCTATAATTAGTCGAAACTCCTAGCATCCCCTTCGTAACGTCTATCATACTCCCCCATATAATCCCTGTAGCATAACCCCCTCCAAAGAGTTTTAGACTATATAGCTCACAGAGTAATCCGATCCGTATTAGTACCGTAATTCCTTGGTGCTCGAGTGACTAGGGCCGCTGCCACTCCATTGGCAGAGAGAGCAAGGGACGTCGAGCTGCCTTTCGTCAGGCAACAATCAACAGCAAGCCGAAAGGCATCTTTTTTGTTGTGGGGGGTGGGGGGTGTGTGTGTTAAGGTTTACGGACTAATCTAAACCCCAGGGTTGAGGTTTTAGGGATGACAGAACTGGAGCTTTGATCCAAAAACCCTTCACCTTTGCAGCTTTTCATCTCAAAACGTTCGGACACTGCCCTGGGCATCTACCAAAACGTGGGTCTCCCCTTAAGAATCCGAAAAGAGTTCTTACTATAGGGACCCCAAAAAGGTTCCTCTAACTAACTATTGGAGCCCGCCCAAAGTCTGAGTGTCTGGCTGGCAGTTCTCGATAAAGTTCCCAAACCCTCCTCAGCTCAGGAGAAGGCAGCAGCATAATCTCACAGAATAGAATCCCTCTTAAGTAGATAGAATATGGCTCTGGGTATATTATAATAAGATCTCCATGTACCCCATCCTCTATCGACTAAAGGGGGACTATATCCACGACCTGCTCAAAAACAACGTTCCCGCAGTGGATGGTTGGATTGTAGTAGGACCTCTGTGTGCTTGCCCTTATTCCTTATGAGCCGTGATGGCCGCTATGGGTGAGTAGCGAGGTCTACTTGGGGGTGATGTCACATGCCCGATGCGTTCTAGGGAATGTGCTTGACATGCTCCAAGCGCCCATCCGGGATGGGGCAACCGTATCCTCAATCAACCCATCCCCTTGTAGGGTGAAGCCATCCAGTGCTGCGATACCTATGGCAGCGCTCAAAAGTGTGTCTGAAAGTCCACTCCTCAAAATGTCACAGGAATGCTTGGGACCCGTGCCCCATTGACAAACCATCGTTGGAACTCGGCATAGTTCAAACCGTCCTCTCCGCTGCCTGGCAAGTGTTTACCTATACATGGACTGTATCTTAGAGGCTCTTCGTGATGTTTACGCGTTCTGATTCCGAGCTACCTGCTCGTGAGCCGAACAGCCATATCAGCCACTGTTGGGTGCCCGGCCTTGAGCAAGCAGATGCTGCCAGAGCCGTAACACCATGTCCTGAATCCAGTGTTTGCATAGGTGGGTGATGGTACATGCCTACATCCGGGCAACAGGCTTGGATTGTGACACATGAAGGGCAAGAAGATCCCGCATACTGAAACTCTAATGTGCCTGGGAGGCACCTCTCTTGCCCCCCCACCACATTGATGCTCGCCACAACATTCTGCAAAGACGTTCAAGGTAAGGATCCAACACAACCAATGCAACGAACCACCACCCAAAGGGTACCGCACATGCCACCTGTGCTCCGAAACTACATGCTGGGGGGGGACATCCGACATAAAAAGGGGACCCCAATGGACCCCATGTCCCTATGTGCTGCAGACTCTGGGCCTGCTCCAGATTGGGCTCAAACGTACCCAACCTCAGGTGTAACACATCGTTTGCCATGCTGGGTGCGCATACGTGAGTTTTGATAGGCCAACCAAGAATCAGACACACGAATGAAATCCGAGCGCGTCATGATGGGGCCAGATGCCTCAGCAATCATCGCCAAGAAGTTTAGCGCAAGACAGGAGAAAATCCAATGGACTGCTAGCATTCCACACAGCAGGGCATCAAGAATACTCCTTCCATGATTGCCATTAAAGTCCACACTTTCCAGACATACCAAGTACCCATCTTGTTGTCACAAACAATTACTCGTGAGGAAGGCCACCCGAACTTCTAGAAGGCGTGGCAGGAAGCACTGGGCCCATTTTTCAAATCCTTCTAGCTGGTAGCAGAAAGAAGGGGAGCTAAGGGAGAAAGAAGCGCAAGGGTGGAGGGCGACCCCATACCCGTAATTCAACCATCGGGGGCCGCATGGTGAGGCAAGATAGTTTAGAAGCGGCGCGCTCATTTAAACTGTGTTGTTAATAACCAGGTGGTCACACCCACAAGGGCTGGCCCAACCAAAAGACGGCACACGACAACGGTCACAAGCTCCCCATAACGCGCTAACTTTCATGATCTGACGCTACAGCATTGAATCTTTATAGTCCCCCTTAAGTGGATAGAATATGGCTTTAGGTACATTAAAGTAAGATCCCCATATACTCCATAGTCTGTCTACTTAAGGGGACTATAATTGTTCATGGAACCGCAATTCTTTTCAGAGCCGAGGTGCTCCAGCACCACCTGCTTTGCAGAACCGTTTGAAGAGCTGCTCAGGGCTTTGTCGCCTTAATCACCAATGGCGTGCCATGCAATCATCCGGGCTCCAAGGTCGCCTGCTTAGGCTTCCGGATCTGGAGTTTTCAGCAGGCTGTAGGGTGTCTAGGGTTGCAAGTTTAGGGCACCAGGATCCACAAATCGAATCCGCGGAATATAAAACCTCTCCCATTGAAGTGGTCATTCTCCCATTGCTCATATTGAGTCAGAAGCACGATGTAGAACTTGCATGTGAGATAGTTGCAATTCGTTGAATGACTGAGACTCTCCAACCTGAACCGGCGACGTAGTAGCATAGATTCCACCAAGACAAGTGCATTTCAGAAAGTTTCTTGTCAAGCAAATCATGTCGACCAGCTGGCCAACCACCAAAAATCCCCAGCCAAAAGAGATCTGGAACCAGAAATTCGGAAGGATCCTGGCGGGCCCTTGTAATCACATACTGTATATACCTGAAAATGGGACTGGGCCAAGCCGTCGGCGACCGTCTCACCGCGCTTCGCACACGCTTCATGACGTGCAAGACCTGCACGTACAGCGGATGATTCCCCGCAAGGACCCTTCTCAGTTGCGGAGCCGTGGCTGGGAATGTTTGATAATGGGAGGTGGTTACTATGCATTCCGCGTTTTTGAATGTTCAGGTCTTGCTGTCCGGGCCCTGCCGCGGGCTCCATGCGGCAGCTGTTTTTGGGCTGAGGAACTGAAACGAGTCTTTGTTGACGATATGCTGTTCCGGAACCTATCAATGCACCTGCCAGTGTGAAGCGGATGGATGTCCCAAAGCTGAGAAATCCGAGGTAGGAATGCCAAGCATGCCCGCCCCCAAAACCCTGCGCATGAGTTCTCCGTATTAGGGATTTGGTAGTTCCCCTACAAAGGGAGGCCCAATTTAAACCCCAATATGCATCTTTATCATAGGGAACCCTACAAAAAATACAACTCTGTGCCACTCATGTCTGCTGACTGTTCAACACAAGAACATCGTGGAAACCATGCGTCTGGTGGCTCTGGCAGCCAGAGCCTTGTCCGTGCCCTCGGTCTCGGGGAGTGGGGTCACAGGCGTCAAGCCTCCACTGAGGCCTGGTCAGCGTAACGTGTCTGATTGATTGCCATCATGCCGCTGGAACAAACAACATTTGGGGTTTCCAAAAATTAGGGGCACCTATTTTGGTAGTCCCCATAATAATGATTATAGTAAATGGGGGTCTGTGTTGGAGTCCCCTTATTTTGGGAAACTACCATTTGGCGCAGCAGTTTTAGGCCGAGACTGAACGGTGATGAGTCCAGCTCCTGGGAACATGCGGCTGTGCCAGGGCTGGGGCATCACAACATGGATTGCTTCGCAGCTGGGTGTACCCTCGATGAAGTTGACAATGAAGCTCTGTTGCACGATTGTCAACACAAATGCCAAAACATGGAAAACCCTCAAGAGGGCAATCTTTGAAGCAGATCTTGGCAAGCCATTCCAAGCTGACTTCGAGTGATATCCTGGCCCAACGGCAGCGCAGCATTGGAGTTCGTGGTGAACCTTGCGCACCACAGCAAGGCTTAA